ATTTAATCCGTGGAAACAAATGTACAGTCTTTTTCTCGTTGTTACGTCGATGTCACGATTTTTTGCTCAGTAAAATCATCAAAATTTTGTTTTGCCATGTTTCATGGTTGTGCGTCACAAATTTGTAGGAAAAACACAATAGTATCCAGGTATATAAATGAAGCGTAAGTAATGTTTGAATGATTAATAGAAGTTGGCAAATTTGCGGTCATCTTGTGTTCGAAAATGATGCAGGGCTTTTCCTCAAATAAATGATTCACGCCTGGGTATTTAATTTGAGTTTTCACGTTTCCATTTTGTGACAGCAAACTTCAAACATAGAATCGCTTTATGTGTAACTTTCTTCCCCCAACAATGAAACAAGTGCTTTTATCCGAGAGTTTTTTCTAGGCTGCTCATCTTCGACCATTTCTCTCTCACATCGGCTCTCACTCTCACTCTCCAACCACATGAATCTCAGCCTTTCGAAATTTTACACTCGGTGCCCAACTCAGCTCACGATCACGAATCTCTTTCAGGGATTAGTTTAAAATCGCGCTCTGTCTTCCAAGCCACACGCTTTTTTGCCGAGGTTTCAGCCTTTCTGTTTGATTAGCCAGCGAGAAAATGCTTTGAAAAATTGGGCTTTTGCAAGTTTATTTCTTGGAATTCTTTTTACTACGTACCCTTGATTCTTAGGTTAGTTCAAGATTAGAGGAGCGATTTTGGAAAAAGGCGTGGGATTTGCACCAGATTTTTCTCAACCCATATTTTTCCCTTTCCTTAAATTTTGTTCGATTTGCTTTTTGGAACAAAAAAATGTGGTAGTGCACAGAGCGGAAATTATTAAAAAGATGCTCAAATGGTAGTTGTCCAGAGAAATAAAAATTATATCAAAAATGCTTCTTGACCTTTCTACCGAAATCCAGCAATTATAAAATACTTGAACCCAGAACGTTCGATATCAATTACTTCCATTTATTAAACTTAATTCGAAATTTTTGAAGTGTTGTTTTATCAACAAAAAAACCGTGATCCTGACTTACAACTGCAACTCCGTAAGCCATTTTTACAAGTTTTTCAAATTAATCGATTTTTTGGCTTACAGCCAAATTTTTTCGACTAAGAAAAATTATGGTCGGTTGAATGCCTTCGTGAGTCTCTTTTCAACTTTTTTTTGCACTACATTCCAATTATGTTTCAAATGAGAGCTTTATTCTACATAACTGAATGCAACATGAATACAACATGTGTTATATATGGTGCATTTATAAAGTGGAAAGTGAAAAATTTTTCAAGAATATTTTGAGCGAATTTTTTCCAAGTTTTTGTGGATAAAATATGCTTTAAACTACTATTTTGAGTCTGGCAAATGCTGTATTTTTTCTCTTTGTTCATTCACTTCTTATAGATAGGCTCTCAGGGTTTCACAGAATTACGTAAGAGATTGGAAAATATCCTATGAGTCAAAATCCTAAAAATTTTACTCGCAACGACAGCAGGCGCGACTCAATGACTGATAACTTCCTCTTCTGGCAAGATGCCAAACCCCCGCAGCAGCTTCCCCCAAGAAATATTTGCATTAGCACAACTGCCAAGCATATTCAGTGTTGTTGATGTTGTTATGCACATGAAATCCAATCCTTTCCTATATCCATATTCATCGCTGAGAATCAAACCAATCTCCCTCCCCCTCTCCCCCGTCCCCAAAAATAAGAGTATCTCCTCCTTAACCTCATCCCGGAATTTCCGAGCGCTGCTCACTCCCCGTTTTCTGTTAATTTGAGTACTTGGAAAATGGAGTGCACAATGACGCTTTGTTTAACTCGGATGCCTTTTTTTTTCATCCAGGCGCTCGTGAAGAGTCTCCCCCCCCCCCTCCCCATACCCTATGACTCATTTTGGTGACGATGTCCATGCTGGCAAGTTTTGCAGAAGAATTTGATCGGAGTGCCCAACAGTGAAAGTTGGAAAAAAAATTTTTTTTTGAGGAGAGGGGCGTAGCCGGGCAGGAATTTCTCCAAAAATAAAATCTGCAATCCTAGTTGCATTGATTTTCTTCATCTAACTACGATTTTATTCATCTATTCACTAGAACAATTTTTCTACCAATTTTAAAGTTGTTTATTTCTCCGCATAGTTAGTCCAAAAATTCCCCAATCTCTATTTAGAGTAAAGAGAAAATTTTCAACTCAAAATGTTTTCATATCAACATTTATTAAATATTTTAGATTTGTTATTGTTTCAAAACTCCTTCAAGTTCTGATTTCTTTTGACAAGAGATTAATACAAGATTTGAAATTTTTTTTTCTTGATTTCTTAATAGTGACAAAACTGTGCGGTAATTTGTAAATAGATATTTTGAAAGTTTGCGGCTTCCCTCAATTTGGACCTATCCAGCCCCATCACTGAAAGTCGAGGAATTTTTTAAGTAAATTTTTTCAGTGACTCAATTTACGTGCTGATTTTGCAGATGTGCTCAGTACTCAAAGCACCACGCCCAGTTCGCCGTTGCGACGAATTCCCATTCATTTTAGGTTTTTTGGCGACTGGAAAAAACCTGCTGAGAGAAAAGATTTCAGTAGAAAAAATCTCTGCAAAGAGATGTCAGATTTATTTCCGCTAAGAAATTTTCGTACTAGCTTTCCACGCCGAAAAAATCTCACACTCCTTGCGTCCATTGTCCAGGGCAAGCGGGCCACAATGACCGCTAGCACCTCTTGAATCCCTCGTTTTTGACTCGGAGAGCCTGGAGAGTAGAGGAGAGAGTAGAAATCAATGGATGTGAGTGGCGATTCTCATCAATGCTCGGGCTGGATGGCTGACCTCTTGTGGAGAGTGGAGAACGTGCCGGGTCAAAGTCATATTTACCCCCCGATATTAGCCGGAGCCTCTCTTAACGCGCCACGCTACTCTTTCTTTCCCCTACTCCTCTTCCAGATATCGATTCGTTACTGAACTCCTCTTATCCAATTCTTAGCTTTGAACTCATCTTCTATTTCTTCAGTTTATCTACTTCAGCTGAACGCTGTTTTGTCTTTTTGCTTTAGAATTCGCTATATTCATTTATATAATCTTTTTGTGCTCCCCAAGAATATTTTCCAAGAAATGCTTGTTTGACGTTTCTACCATACCCTTATGAGAATGTTAGATCCCCTCAATATTTTTTGAAATGCTCAAAGTAATTTTCCAACGGCGGCATCCATTTTGAAACAACCAAAACTTCGCAAGACTGGAAACGGCTCGTTTTTAGGATTTTCTGAAATTCTCGCGATAGGCGAAATCCTCTCTGTCAAAGAAAAAATCGCCCGTTTTATAGAAATCAAGAAATTTCAAGGAATTTTTGAGCTTTTCAGCTTCTGTGGTGGAATGCGGCATATAGACACAGACCTTCCCATGAATTTATAAAGGTCCTTGTTAAAAATAATAAAATTCAACTTTAATCGATAATATCAGTAATAGTAATTATAGCAGTAATTTTGATACAGTTAATAATAGTAATGGTCTAAATCTAAATTCTGCAGAAGATTCAGTTAAAGTTGAAAGATTGCAAGGTTTAGATTTGTAGCCTTTCAAATTTTCTGTAATAACCTGTATTGGTAATATTAAGTTTGATGTTAATAATGATACCAATAATGATCAACAATGATAATTAAGTAAATGAATTCTCATTTTTTAGATAAACGTGATAAACTGTCTCGAAAGGCTCGAAAAATATATGAAAAAGTAAAAGAAATTCAGCCGCAAAGGTTGGAGAAGAAGAATTTATAATATGACCGTCTTTTGTAAAAGCACCTTAGCTAATTGTAAGATCTGCATAATCTAATTAGTGTACGAACAGCTTTTTCTGCTGTAATTCTTCACAGGAATGGAATTCAGTAATAACGGACTTGTAATGATAATTATCAGAAACGATTTTGGGAACGAAGCGCAGTAAAAAGTTCATGAATGATAAGCAGCACATGTTGATAAAATTTCTGTGAGACGTTCCAGCAAAATTTTAAAAAGGTGAAAAGGACGAAAATTTTCGTTATGTGAAAACTGGATCGGCAGTCATACATTTTTCGTGTTGATTATAAATATGTGTTAGCTGCGAATATATGGTGGGACCAAAAATGATTATTTTGAAATTTTTCTTGGTAAGATTTGGAGCTTGCCTTATGCTCTTTCTGAGTTTAACCTTCGAAGAGTTTTTGAAGCATTCTGCAGAAATTTTGGTTTTGCGGTGTTGAAACAGGAATTTTTTGCTTGGTAAATATGAAACGGAAATTTTATCGCCTGGCAGTTGTTGAATTGGGAATTGTTTTGCTTGGTAATTATTGAAAGAGGATTATTGGCTTGGAGCCGCTGAAAAGGAAATTTTTTGCTTACGATCCTTATGGAAATTTGGATATTAGCCTTGGAAACGGGGATTTTTCCCTTATAGCCACTAAAACGGGAATTTTTGCTTTTAGTTCCCAAAACGAAAATTACTTTTTAGCCTTTAAAACAGGAATTTTCGCTTGTTAACCACTGAAACGGCAAATTTTGGCTTTTAGTACTTTGAAAGGAAATTTCTTTCCTAATAGCCTCCGAAACGGAAATTTTTCGCTTGTATCCATTAGAACGGGAATTTTTTCGATTATAGCCTCTGGAGCGGGAAATTTTTCGCTACAGGCTCAAACAGATAAAAATGTGATTTCAAAGATTGGATTGGATTGTGGTCGCAAATTTCTAATAAGGCTAACATCGCATAAAGCGTATCGTTCCGTTGCGCTCTCCTACCGACGGCATCGCTTAGTTTTCGCGTGCGAAGCGAGCGAAAGAACTTGCATTCTGCGGTTCGCAATTTTATCTTCGGTTTCAGTGAAACGAAAGGAAACAGACTGACATTCGCCGATAAGCGAATGTGCGTTTTCACCGACCCGCCACCGAATTCTTCCGCAACTTTGAACCAGCCAGCTCTGCACATTTTGTTGTTCTCGTCTCCGTTCCACTGTTTTTGCTCTTGTTCACCTCATCTGCAAAAAATCAAAAATTTAGAATTTTCAGGTGCTATGGCAATTACTGAGGACAACGCCCTCAGCAGTTTGCACCAATTTCTCGCTGCTACCCAGGTGAGACAGTGATGTCACCATAATATAAAATTTATCCTAAATTGCTTGTCTTACAGCCCCTACAGTCGCTACAGCGATCACCGGAAAAGATCCCCAGCATGGACGACATTATGCATACCGTACTACAGCAACTGCCGTCCTTCAATAGTTACCCGGTAAGTGGCGCAATAACTGAAGCGCTATTAGAGGCCAAATTGACGTGAGAACCGACAATTTGCCAATAAAGTTTGGCATGGTCTGCTGCTATCAAGTGGGAATGGTGGGGGGAGAAGTAGAAAAGAATTTTGTAACTTTAATTCCTCGTAAGTGAAAAAGGAAAGCAAAGAGGTGGAGTGAATGGGCAAGGGAGAAGAAAGAATTTGAAAGGTTCAACTTATTTTCATATGCTCAAATGCGCAAATACAGGCTATTTAAATAAAAAAATTTCTACTCTACGATAAGAAAAAATGCTCCATGTTCTCAGCAATGTGCCATTTTCTTCCTAGGATCAAGAAATACCGCCACATTGAAAACCACATCTTGTGTCATTAGGAAAATTTGTGACTATATCGGGTGCAAAATTTCCCTACCTGGGAAAGAACCGCAAAATTTTTTTCCTTGAATGAGGAGGGGGGCACGCGTTATGGAGCAAAGTTACGCCGCATTCCCCTGCGGTATATCCTGAGGGCCATTTGCGTTGCGTCGTCTTAAATTGCAGCTGCGGGAGTAGGCTGCTCATGCCAGCGGATTGAGCCATTCCCTACTACTACGATCTGATAAGTTCAAATTGTATAAATGCAATAAAGAAAACAAAGAAGGCTGCAATTTGAAAAATTAAAAGAAATATAGATGGATCTTAGGGATGTTTGAAAGGCTGACTGATATATCCAATGCGCTGGATTTGAGTTAAAAGTGTTCAAGAAGTGGAACACGACAATTAGTAGAGAAAATGTAGAGGTTTTTCGCCAATAACTTTCCAAGAGAAATCCATCTTTTACTTTCTCTTGGCTTGCTTGCAGACGCTTCTTCCTCATATTCTAAATTTAATTCGCCCTTGAAATGCGTTTATCATCCGCATTTTGATATCTTTATCTATAGAAAATATGGGGAATGGCTCACCGCTGGGTAGCGCTAGCTCCTTTGCGACTGCGATCAGGAGCGATGCAACGCAAAGGGCCCTCAGGATATACCATAGGCAAATGCGGCATAGCTTTGCTCCATAACGCGGCGCCGCCGAATGAGGAGGCATTTTAACAGCAAATTCCAAAAGTTCACGGCTTCTTGAAATTTTTGCAGATTTAAAAACCTAAAATTGAAAAACTTTGACTTTCCCTCCTCCAAAACGTTCTTTTTTCAACTCTTCAGAACTGAAGAAGTTCCAAAAAGTAGTTCCAAAGTCAGTTGGCTTCCACAATAATAAAATTGTCTAGTTTACTTAAATACAAAATAAATTGTCTTTGTGGTTACTGATGAACTCCCTTCAAACTTTTTGCAAGACTCGGCCTTTGATAGATAACATACATTACCACTCATAGAATGATAGGATACTCTTCAGAATTTGAAGAAGTTCCACAAATTTTTCCGCTATGTTGGGACCTTTTTTGATCAGAATTTTCTCTATACCATTTTTCTATCGGTATGATCATATAGCTTTTTCAGACACCGGTAGATGCGAAACCGGCGGGATCGTCGGACAGCGACACCCCTCGCAATCAGAGCCCTAATAGTGATGTTACTACTGAAACTCAGCAAGCACTTGGTGGAAAAGAACCTCGGTAGGTCAAGAATAGATCACTCAAGGGCAGTTAGCAGTAACTTCTCTTCTAGGCCCTATCGTCAAGAGCCTTGGCATGAGTGCTTTACCACCGTAAATAAGAAGGAGTTTGATGCTCTGATCTACTCGTTGTATGTGATGGCCAGAGACGATAAGAAACTGGACGGTTATGAGTAGTAAGTTCCGTACTCTCAGAGGGTTGCTCTGACCTTGCTAATGGCAGAAAGCATTGACCGATAACGACTAATTGCTGTTTTGCAGTTATGAGTGCATAAATCGGCTGCAAAGCAAATGCCGCTATCGAGTCAGGGCCAGACGGATGAACGAATTCATCATCGTTGAGGAACGGGGAGCTCACAATCATGCTATGGAGCCTGTAGGGACTCCCGGAACTCATGCGGGTTTACCCAAGTGGGTAATGAGAAGCACGACTGAGTAGGGACCACATAAAACGTATTTTTGCAGAACACTTAGAGAAATCGTTGACAAATCGTTCTATGAAGATTGGCCCAATGCTACTCGACAAGAGAAGCTTGAAGAGGAGGTAAAATGAAAATTTCAAAATAAAAATATCTGGTCAATAAATGTCCCTGATTCAGGTTCAACGCCTTGGCCTACCACATAATCCACGACTTGGTAGGCAAGTGGACAATCGCATAGCTTATTTAAGAAGAGTCAAGAATCTCAACGAAATGAAGAAAATTCAGGATCAGGTGAGATCATAAATGTAGAGAAAAATGTTGATTTTTACAAAAATGCGAAAACTTCGGGGAGCGGGTAGAAGTTTCTAAGCTGTAGTAGCCAAGTAAACAAATAAATTCTAGCATTTTTTACTTTCATGTGGCCTTTCTCCAGGGGATCAATGCCTTTGAAAAATTTCATTTCAAGAAAAATACCCCATTCCAGATAGGACGTAAATAGAGCAGCAACAATCAGAATTCTACACATTACTCTTTCTTTCCAATAAAAAATTAAGAAAAATCTCTATAGATCAAAAAACGCTGTTTATTCAGCTGGTTAAGCTACTACTGATAGAAGCTCTCCTTCTTTAGTACATCAAAATAGAAAAGAATTCCACCTCGTATACAATACATGAAACAGATCATTTTTTACAAAATTTACTTAGAATTCTAAAGATTAAAAATGATTCTTTCAATATAGAAAGTTCAAAAAAGAGCCTAAAGGTTTAACAAGTTGGGAGCTACTACTGACATCTTCTTTTCCTCTTTGATATATCAAAATATAAAATGATTTTCGCTTTTTGTACGGCTGAAAAGAGCTGCATAAATTTCTGTCTCCAAAATAGTTTTTCGTCGGGCTAGGCGAGTTAAGGGTCATTCTTACTGACCGAATGACACTCACCCGAGAAAAAAAATGCCGCTTTACTTTTCCTACGCTGAAGCTGTAAAAAAGTTTTCGACTGTTTGTAGGCTACGCCGCTCATCACCGAAGAATTTATGGCCGACGGTGACGCGAAGGTGAATGCACTGCCAGCTGCTGCTGTACAGGAAAAAGCGCAACCGACCCCCGCTTCGTCCACCACGAGGGGTCCAGCCGAACTGCTACAGTTGATGATGCAGGTAAGGAAAAGATAACTTAACTACCAGATCTGTTTTCATACAACATCTTCTGTACCACTGTCCCTTCTCTTCTTCGTTCAAGCTCTCTCTCTCTCTCTCTCTCTCTCTCTCTCTCTCTCTGTTTCCCGTTCTCTCTTGCGTTTTTCCTCTCAAGTTCTGTAAAATCTTGAGATTTGATCCAAGCATTTTGCACACCGAAAAATGAACTCGTAGCCATTTTTTGAGTGAAGCAAAACTTGAAAGTTGGACACATTTGATGAATAAGCTTTGTCTTTGAAAAAAACACAAACAATTTGTCCTGAAATTTTATGCGAAAAAATAAGTTAGAAAATGAAAAATCTAAAATAATGGAGTACTTTCCTTCGAATCTAAGACGGACTGAGGAAGGGGGTTGCGCGAAACTTTCTAAAGTAGCATACATGATTAAAAAATTGATCATTAGCCCATCATTTAAAAAAAATTCGTCGCTTCCTCCCGCCCCCCTCGAATGAAAATTTTCGGAGCCCCACTGATACCTTTTTTTGAAATAAATTTTACTTTGCATCAACTCCACTGACATGAAGGCATGTACTGTAGACTCTTTTTGGACTGCGTTTTCCTATTTCTTACCGGCAAATTCTAGGAGCCTTTGGTCTCAATTATTTTTGAAACAATTTTCTTTGCTGAAACCCAAATTCGTTTGGCGCAAAGCGTTTTCATACAGGGTAGAAAAACAAATTTTGCCATAATTCGCCGCTTCTGCGGGTTACTGGTACTCGCAAGTCACGCAGTAGCGTGTGCGAAAGGACCAGTAGTCCGCGCAAGCGGTGTTTATTGAAGTCGTTCCTTTATCCAAAACTCTGCCATGTTCCTCCTACTATGAGTGGCTTAAATTCATAAATTCAAAGATTTCTTATAGGGAGGACAAATACCGGAACTAAACGCGGAAACACAGGCGCAGCTGATGGCGCTGATGATGAGTGGAGCTCCTGCAACGATTGGCGACAATGAAAGCAGCAGTGACAATAGCGCAGCCATGACATCTACTATGCCACAGTTCCCACTGACGTCACTGCCTCCATTGTTGAACCCTTTCCTTCACGGGTCCTCGTCTATGCCCAGTTTGCTGCCTTCTATCAACCCGTCTGGTGATGACAACCTGGCTGCAGCTGATGATGGTGGCGAAGATTCTGTAGACATAGACGACGACGATGGCGCCACTGACGACGGATACCGCCTGGACGGTGCTCAATGATGTTTCGGCTCTCAAGGACAGTATTTATCAATTCCCATCCTCGATAAGGCGCTGTTTCGTCATAAACGAGCGCCTATCGCCCGATCGGGCGCTTGGTAATAATGCTGAAACAACGCTCGGTTAGAGATCGGAAAATTGCTAAGTACTGCTCTAGGACTTTGTGTGCCTACGTGTGTGTATTGCATATCTGGCTTGTTGTTCTCTTTCTCAGTTCTTTACTGATGACATTATTTCTTACCGACTGATGAGGTTTATTTGAGTATTTTGCCTGTGTATATAATTCATATCAAGGGTCATTTTCACTCGCTCTCTCCCTATCAGTATCCTCATGTTTTTGAAGCCTTATTTGTACGGGACCATAACTCAAGGCCTTCTCCGTCTTTACTCACTGTCTACTTGAACTTGTGAATAAATGTTTGAATTGTAAATGGCTATGCTTTAGAAATGCAAGTAAGCCTTGAAGCAACATAAATAAAGACTGAAAAGAAAAGCGTTTTTAGTCGAAGTGGATTTTCCTGGTAATCACTCTGAAAAGCATTGAATGCTAATTCTAGTCCTATCTTTGCCATATGCATTGCTCCTTTGCGAGCAGAGTTATGAACCTTTCTTGGTTTGAAAATTATTTGAAAGCGCAACTAAACCTAAATCGTTTAAAACCGTTCGAAAAAGCCATCCGTCACTACAGCAAAGGCACTTCATACAACGAACACTCCCTTTCGGGTGTGTTCCCACGGCTATTTTTGAGCGTCGGAGACGTTTTAACTACTTGTATCCATAAGTTCATGTTTCGCTCCAAAAAATCATCACAACTCGGCGTTCCGAGGCACACAGCAGATAGAAACAGATTTAAAATTAGCATTCGATTTTTTGCAAGATGATATGGAGCTCATGCAAAAAGGTCACTCCAATAGGAAACACATTTTTTGTAGAAAAGTGTGTTCGTTGAGGCAAAGTGTCTCCTGGCTAAGGCGTGGGCCCGCTGTGGTGGTACCTCAAACTTGGGAAATCAAACCTTTATATCATTGGTAACAACAACAACAGCGAACAATTATCGGCTTGACATTTATCCAGAACACAAGGTCAATTACTTGTCATGAAAATTGTAAAATGAACAGAGGCTTATTATCGATCAGCGAATCGTCCCTTTGGGCCGGCCACACAAAGCTCATGGTCCACTAGATGTGACATTTGCGTAGATGAACACATACTTTAATTAGTCGCCGCCTTCCTACCACTGGTCTTTCGCACATGCCAATAACACCGTGTCAGGACTAGCAGTTGTGGAGGTGCACATAAGTGAGTTATTCGCTCCTTTACCTCTGGCATTTTGCTTTATCTACATCCGGCAGCCTGAATGCCGCCTTTGGCGCACTCGAGCCTTGACATCGTTTTCTTACACTGATGATGTTTCTACCGAGGTCACTGCGTCGCTTCTTTAAGTTGATCCGTCGTCTGACGTTTCTTTCTCCTCTCCACAGAGAGAAATGCCAGTGTTAGCCCGCAACAGACACGCTCGCGGGCGTTTAGCCTTAGCGATTCCGTACAGTCAACTATGGGCGGAGCAAAGTAAGGTAATACATATCTGGACAAACATGTTACCCGAGGTCGCGAGTTTTGACCTCAGGAGTAAATAAAGAGTTCAAGCGAACGAGTAATTGATAACATTGTGCGAGGTGCTGACTATATCGGTACGTTCTGGCCCCAGAAAGGAAGGGGAACAAAAAAAGCATAAAAATGTGACCGTGACTATTGAAGCGGTAGGTATGTCCCCAAATGTCCCCTTATAGCACGTGAGCTTCTACTTCAAGCATACCTTCAATACATAGAGCCATGTACTCTGGTGACATTCATTTCGAGCAACATCACAACCTTCACAAAAAAAAAACCAGAATCATTTTGTGGAAGCCCCAGATGTCAAATCCATTACTATTATAAATCAGAATGAATGTGAATGAGATAAGTGTAGTGAGTAATACCTTAAAAATATCTCAGCAAAATGAAAAAGTGTTTTATTGTTGGATCGCCTGGATTGCGGAGATCGTGACTTCGTTGGCGGGAAAAGGACGCCGGTGAAGCGGCGCTAAAACGCCAAGGGTTCCATAGAGTAGTGAGGGAGATGCCACGACTGGTCTGTGATTCCACAGCGGCTAGGTTGAAGGCGTTAACAGCCTTGCGAAACACGCGGTTGAGGCCAGATTAAGAAGTCGCGGACTTCTGTGTCGCCCTCGAGAACCTAGCGAGGAAGGCTAACCCCAGTGTAGCATTGAGGATAGGTCGATGGAATATGCACATACTCCGTTAGAAAACCTACAACATGGCCAGAATATGTACAGTTGGTGGTTCTACACCAAATAGAACCGGCTGATCATGTAACAGGGTAAAAGAAGTGGCGATTGAGATTGAACTCGCGAAGACTCTGCAAGTTTGAGAGAAGGGGTGCACAACAAGTTCCGACCTGGAGGAAGGCAAGTAGAAATGAAAGGTACGGGCCAGGTAGGATGCAGAACCGAAGCACATAATGGAAAGGGAGAGATGCGAAAGGGAAGATGGGATGAGAACACAGAAGCCGACGAGAAGCCCTAATGCCTACAATGAGGACCATTCAAACGATGGGAAAAGATGCTTTCGCTATGGTCACTTCGGGCATATTATAAGGGATTGTAAATACAAAAACGCGGAAAATGAAAGTGCCATTAAGGCTTCAAAAGTGACATCCACGATAAGTATGTAACCGTAATATGGTCGTGAATGCTTCCAAGCTGAGGCAGATGGAATTGTTGGCAGGAGAACGGCGACTAGAGCGAGGATATTAAGAAGAAGGGTATCAGCACTCATAGACACGGATTCAATGATCAGTACTCCTTCCCATGAAGGTGCTCATAGAAGCAAGGAACAGTGGCTACGATGTCTAGACTTCAGACTTTCGATGTCCTGGAAGGAAGCATATACGACGCATCAAACCATGTGATGAGCTTCCTAGGTGGTGTGATAGTAGAAGTGGAACTGGAAGGAGGGTACAAAAAGGAAGCAGCCTTCCATGTTTCGGACGATGAAGACAAGGAAGTACTCATCGGCACAAATGCATTGAAGTATCAGGAGTGGAAGCAGTGGTACACCAGAACCCCTGAAGTCAAGGCAAAAGTGATGGAAAGAGTGATGATTCCACCGTATAAAACAGGAATAGTGAGACTCAAATGTGAAGTCGGAAACGGATGTAAAACAGAAAGAGTCCTTTGGCCTTCAAGAGAGGAAGTCGAGTAAAGTGTTTTCCATGACGAGTGAGGAAGCAAAGTGCCAGTACTGAATACGGGAACAGAGCCAATGATACTCCATAGAGACGAAGAAGTAGGCACGGATGCGTGGTACAACTCCATGGGAGACACGGTGTCATGATGTTAGACAGTAGTGAGGAAGAGCGACAAGGAGGTGTTAGACAAATGATGCTGCATGATCAGATTAAAGAGAATAGGGAATCCAAGCTGCTTGAATCCGACATAGAGGAAGTCCTGGAGGATTACACAGAGTGTTTTGCAATGGATGAAAAGGAGCTCACGCAAACAGATCTAGTCAAGATGAGTATCAACACAGGGATCATGAACCAGTGAAGGTGAAGGCCAGGCCAGTGCCTCTAGGCATCAGGTCGAAACTCATGCAAATGCTATAAGACTTGGAAAAAAGGTCCATTATAGGAAAGAGTTCGTCAGTGTGGGCATTCCCCAAGTATTAGCAGAAAAGAAGGACGGGTCATTGAGACTGTGCGTTGACTACAGGGAGCTCAATAAGCGCATCAAGTTGGACTCATACCCATTGCCGACAATAGATGCCATACCGCAGAATATGGCAGGAAAAAAATTCTTTTCCACTCTGGACATGTGCAGTGACTATCGGCAGATACCAATCGCAGAGGACTTAAAGGAAAAGTCGGCATTCACGACACCGGGAGGCTTATACTTCCAAGTAGTACTTTTCGGGCTGAGCACAAGCTCAGCAGTATTCCAAAGGCTGATGGATGCTGTACTTGGAGACCTTCTAGAAGTAGATGTCTTTTGCTATATCGATGACATAATGATTTGCACATGCACTAGAGAGGAGCATATCAAATTGCTTCGCGAGGTTTGCAAGAGAATGAAGACGGCGGGCTTGGAACTAAAAGCAAAGAAATGCTTCCTATTACAGTCAGCTGTTCCATTTTTGAGACACAAAATAGACAGTGAAGGGGTACACACAGACTCTGAAAAAGTGGAGGTAATTCGGCAATATCCTATCAAAGAATGAGAAGCAACTACGGAGATTTCTAAGAATGCATCATTTTACAGGAAATTCTGCCTTGGATTCTCCAAACAACTTGTCTGTTTCACTTGACATCAACAGGAACACCGTGGTCGTGGGGAACGGCAGAACAGGAAGCCTTTGAAAAAATCAAGACGATGATATCCACAGCGCAGGTACTAGCACAGCCAAACATTGCTAAGGCTAGATTAGGTGAAAAACCTTTCATTATATGCACTAATGCCTCCACTACAGGGATTGGGGCAGTGCTGACACAAAAAGGGGAAGACAATGAGATGCATCCCATCTATTTTGCATCAGAAGCCTTGAGTAGAGCAGAACGCAACTACCATTCACCGATTTGGAAGCACTAGCGGCCGTGTTTGCAGTGCGAAAGTTCCACGTCTTCATATACGGGTTACCGACAGTGGTATACAACGACCACCTCCCACTAACTGCACTCTTCAAGCAGACAAATGTATCAGCGCGCTGGTCACTGGAGCTGCAGAGATACAATCTTAATATACAATAGTGAAGGGAAAAGCAAACATCGTAGCCAATGCTCTAAGTAGAGAAGGCGCATAGAAGGAGGATGTCGTTTTGGGAGGTGCGACGAAGCTGTGGTTAACACAGTGACTTTGAAGGACGAGTCTAAGTGGTTGAAAGAGCTGAAGGAGGATGAAGAATGGAGCTCAGTGATATGCTGAGAGAAGAGAAACTAGAAGAATACGTCAGGATTATTGGAATGTCACAACCAGTGCGTATAGCGGATTTTGTTATATGAGAAGGAGAATCAATGATGTTCAAATAGAAGGGAAGCAAGTATACGTCGTGCTCAAAAGTTTCCGGAAAGAAGTGTTCCGAGAAGTCTACGAAGGAGCGCTGGCAGGGCACTTTGGACCCCAGAAGATTTTCGGTCAGCTCAGAAGAAGAGTTTTCTGGCCAGGGATGGCAAAGGATGTACAAAAGTGGACAAAGGAATGTCAGAAAGTGGAATGTCAGAGATGTTTCGTGGAAAACGCCGGTAGGAAAGCTTTACCATCACTCAAACCGATAGCCACAATAAAACCATACATATGAGATTATTGGAGTAGATATACTG